TTTGATTTTTCGAATCCATCCGCGAACAGGGGAAGATCAGGCTGTTTACTGGCGCTGATGGAGGAACAATGCCCCCGGTCTGAGACGCGGAGAAATATCACCGAGGCGATGACAATGCGTCGACTCTTCTCTCCGCGTCGTGACTTCGAGCCATGGTCATCCCCTTCGACCGGAAGTTGCGCGCGGCGGAAGCCGCTAGGTTTAGGCGAACGCGCCAGCGTCGATTTCGTGGGACCTATCGCGACGATCTACACGGGTACGACCTTCGCGCGAAGCCTCTTTGAATGTACAAACAGATTCTTCGAAACCGTGTTTAACTGTTCCGACGAGGCCTGACACGCGTGCATCGCTATGGAAGTGTTTCAAAGGCCACGTCCGCGGGTAACTTTTACTACCTCCGTACAAGGAACCAAAGGTGGGTTCTCAGGCTTGGCGGGGGCTAACACAAAGATCTAAATGTGGAAGTAAACATATTAAAATTTATCCGAATACTTCGAAATCTTTTATTTTTAAATCCCCAACTTGGAACGAATCGATGCTCTTGGATTTCCATAATAAAATCTATGAAACGTGGAAGTAAACATGCCAAAATTGATCCGAATGCTTCGAATCCTTTTATTTTCAAATCCCCAACTTGGAAATCCCCAATTGGTACTCTTGGATTTTCAGAATAAAATCTTAGAGACATGGTCACCATTGATAATGATGCCTCTACGAATACGATTTCTTCTAGTCACTGATTTAATTCAAAGCGATAATGTTCGATTCTAAACACGTTGAATGGTGCCTATCTGTTATATCAGCTCGATAAATTCGCGATAAGATAAAATCCGCTTCCCTCCGCTTCCCTCCGCTTCCCTCCAGACCCTCGCATATTTTATCGAAAGCTTCGCTAATTCGACTTTCAAAGCTTAAATAGGAAAAGAAAATGCGTATTTAACGACGATTTAATGAAACTCATTACTGGTAATCGCATCGGTATTTCATTCAACGATGATCGGCACGTAGCCATCCCCGAGCCCACGTTTGAAGAAAGCTCGTCGGGCATTTAACGCAAACAGCCTCGACGGCTCGGCCTGTAAATGGAATTAACGACGGTGGAATGATAAGTGACGTCGTGGCTGGATCTGATTCGATTAGGAAGTATATTTCGCCGAGAGACTCGTGGCGGGCTAACAGTGTCAACGAACTGCCCACGGACACCATCGTCGAAAGAATTCCCTTGTTAATCGTTTCCCTATTCGCTGACGATTAGGAACACCCGGTATACATTGCAATGCGTGTCACGCCTACGCCACGTCGCGACGGGCGTTTGTCAGACCGACAGAAATTACTTTCAATAATGCGAAACATAGTCGGCATGGCCGCGAGGCTCACAGAGATCCTGTAGTTGGCAAAGAAGCGGTGAGATATTTAATGGTGGAGCGATGTGGGTAGGGTGTCAAGAGGAGTGCTGAAAACACTACGTTTTAATTATCAGATCTTCATGGGGGAGCTCCGTACACGAATTAGGGGATGATTGCTTTCCAGTCTCTATTTTTCTTGAAGCCATCTTCAGAATCTACAGGGTGTCCTGTAACTGATGGTACAAGCGACGGTGATTCTACGTAAAAAATTAAATCGAAAATGAAGAATAAAATTGTTTCATACGACGCTTTATTGTCGAAAAGAATAAGTTTGAAAATTTATCGAGAATTTGATTCAGCTTCAGTTTGACGGATTTTTCTGTCTTACTGTTCCGCGTAGATTACTTCCGTACTTCCGGCAATGTTTACAAAGATTGTCAACATGATGACATCTCTTACATCGATTTTACTTGCATCTTATGCTTATGATCTACAATGAAATCCGTCGAGCTGAAAGCTGGTTCAAGTGCATGAGTACTCGACAAATTTTCAATCTAATTTTTTGCGACAATAAAGCGTCATATGAACAAATTTTATTCTACCTTTCCGATTCAATTTTTCACATAGAATTACCCCCTACTCGCTTGTGCCACCAGTTACGGGACATCCTGTATAAGCGTCACGATTGTATATATTATTTTCATTGTAATTTCTAATGAATGCAGCAATAATTTTCGTAAGTACCGAGGAGGACTCTTTAAAAAGGGTCAAAACGTGAGCAAATAAATAGCTCTCCCTCCCAGGAGAATGTTTAGGTTTTCTCGTCTCTCAGTCTCTCGAGTTATTTGTTGGAGAACGTCGCGATGAAGTTTCGAAAGGCCTCACGGTAGCCAACAGCACAGATAAAATTCATAACGAGCACCGACCGTTCGCATATACGCGGATGCCGCGCAAAACTGGTTATCCTTGCGTTTCTAAGCAGCTCTCCGATCGGTGGCAAGATAGGCAATAAGCAGGGGCCCAGTTCGCAGTCGAGAAGCGTAGCATCGATATTTAACCCCAGCGGACGACCTCAGAAATCGAGACCATCGTCAATTCCGTGACGCGTTACGTACCGGTTCGCAAGGCAACTCGTCCACGAAACCGAGCATCGTTTTTGTCAGCTGAATCGAGTTTGTTTCTAACAAAGGAAGCACTCAGTTTGTCCCCCTTCGATCCCAATCTATTTCTGCTGGATGGCAAATTACAGAGCCCCGCTGCTGTGCGTGAAATATTTGGCGTGATAACTTGATAGGAGATGTAAGTGCTCGAGGATGATAATTTTATGGGCTCTGGGAATAATTCTCTAATTATAGAGCGTGAAATATTCCGGTATTACGAATAAAGGATGAAGAGCTTTCTACACAGGCACATCAACAGACGTGCTCGCAATTAACAGAGAATGAAATGTGGTACAAACAATCTATAAACGTTAAATATAAGTATTAGGTGGACTAGAAAGTAATGTCGTTTTTGCCATCTTAAATACTTGTCATTTATCATTTATCAGCTCATTGATTTTTATGACATTGAAAATTTGCACACTAGGTGAGAATGAATGCTGCTGACAATGAGGGCGATTATATAATGAATTAAAGATAGAAATTTATTGGAAAATTTGAATTTAATGTAAAAGAAACGACATTAGTTTTCGGTCTACCTAATATTAAATTAAACATAAACATATGAGAATTATGATCAACTACCACAGAAATGTATTCTAAAATTCATAAGAATCTCAATTTAAAAAGACTGTCAAAGTGTTTTCAGAAGATGGTACAAAATTAAGTTGTTGATATACGGCCCTGAGGAACGTTGATCCTAACTGAGCAAATCCCCTATTACCGATGATCGAATTGTGCCCATCACTCTCGAATGCAGAGTGAAACTCGTTGCAATTCCGATCGTCGATGGAAAATATCGTGGTCGACGACAATAACAATTTGTCGTCCCGTTAGCAGCGGCGCGGCCTCGTCTAACTCGATTTCAAGTTTCTCGCGGAAGTTGGCAGCGTCGGAGGAGAGCCAGCCGGTTGCCGCGCGTCGCGGCGCGACGCGTCGTATTACGGTCTCTCTCCTCCAGGCGTGGTGCATCGGTTGGACTGCATCCAGCCGAGCGCAGCTGACAACAAGAACGGCAAGTGGAACTCCGGATATGTATAATGCACCGAAACGTGCTCATAGAAGACAGTGCGCAGCCCAAGTCTCCCATGTGCAACCTACTGTGTGATTCCCGCCAAATTCACGGACCAATGATTTATATGCTAATTTCAACTGGAACACGACTCCCCTCCCTTTGCCTTGAAAACTTTCACAGGTTCGAGAGATCTACCGAGCAATTTCGGGTAATTTCATGTACTTTGAAAGTACACGGAGAATTAATTTTTTCCGCTGTGTTTCATTTTCATATTTTGCCACTCGACGAGGCGTTATGGGATGCCTCGAGAATTTTAGAGTGGCGCTCTGATCAAATGTTTTGGGGAATGTTCGAGGGGGTCACATGTACTTGAGGTAATTATTAGGTAGGAAGGCTTGTGAGAATTAGATAAGATTGCTTGATATGTGTGCGATGTCACGTTTCTGTGAATATAGTCTACCTATTATAATCTTTTTCTTTGCTTCATTGTTAGAGTGGTCTCCTGTTGTTCATTTGTCTTCTTTTATTTAGTTTTTAGAAACTAAAGGAATCTCATTTTTTCTCCTCATCTCGACCGTCATTAAAAGCTACAAGATAATTGGCAAACAAACTAGATCGGTTGATCCACGTTTCGATACTCTAGTAATTTTCTTTTCGAGTTTTAAGTTTCATCTCTATGAGAGCGAACGGAGCAGCTAATCGCGCGACAGTAAAGACCATCCATTTTTAGACCCCAGGCTGAATCCTACGGAAGACACTGAAGTATATAATCTCGAACAAAGTCGAAAACCCAAAGAGTTAGTCATCGGGGGCACATTTGCCTCGCACGTTTCCACCATCGTCTGCATGTCGCGAATTTTAGCGAGAAAGATCCAAAGGGGATCGTAGTGCAATGCACTCTCCTAATTTATGCATGATATCTTAATCGCGAATCTCGTGTCACTCGTGCCTTGCAAACCCTGTATCATTTTAGTTCTCAGTATCCCTCAGGATACTTCCTAGACTTTGCTTTATCGCCTGTACTACTTCTACGATCCTTCAAAGCAATTATCTTTTTTAAGGATTGGTCAAAATAATACGAACATGTTTTTTTAATATGAATATACCGTGATAATTTTTCACTGAAAACTACTCAAAACTTGCATAAATCTACTCTAAAATAGCTATACCAAAGCTAATCGACCCAGCTCCGTTTTAACAAGTGCAGTGCACTTTACAGGTGTTTACGCTATTTTACCCATTCCCTGTTTATTTTCTCAATATCCATGCACTTCATATTTTATCTTTCCCAGCCACTGTACCGTTACAACACTTGGAATCAGAATTTCCATCAACCTCGATGACCTCCCAGCAAATCAGTGTTACTTTCTAAGCGATACATAAAAATACCTAAAATCATCGTCTCCTGTTTTTTTTTTTCTTTGTTCAATGTCATCCGTTACAGTGGGTTAGTCGCGAAGGTTACTGTTTCTCATTCACCTGATCGTTGGAGAAGACACACTTGACGTTAATCCAGCGGTGCGCCTTGACGGTGCAGTTGCACCCGTCCATCGCGCATATCCCAGGCGGTGCACTCTCGACGTTACCAAGCAGAAATACTAGACACCACATGAACACCGACCATAAGATCGCACTATCACACTTAGGCCCGTCCAGGCCGCGGAACACTTTCCTCCTGCTCATCTTGCGATACTCCGGCATCCTCGGGACAAAGGGTCGCGTTGTTCGTCGGCCGCGATCGATCGCCTTCGATTTCCTCCCCGTAGAGATCCTCACATCATTCGTGAATCATCTACAGTGGATCGTTGGGTCTGCGGTACGTGACCCACGCTCCCATCCGTTCTTCTTCGAACTGGGTCACATCCAGAGATGGGCGACGAATAAAAACTGTGCGCAGCGGTCTACTCAGAAGGTTCTGGTATCCGAGCGAAGCATATTTGGATCCTATCGTTCGGATTGCGGCCTTGATTAAACAAACAAAGCATCCGAAGGTGTTCGTGTCGCGAAATTTTGATTCGGGTAGGAATTTTGTCCAGATCTAGCTAGATCGTAGGAGACATTCCTCTCAGCGTTTGGAGCAGTGCTCCAGTACCTACGAAGTGTCCCGAGATTTCGAAGTTATCGATCCTTTCGCCGCGATCCTTTGAAATTGGGCTCGTGTTCGCGTCAAGGTATCCTGGAGACAGCGATCGGAGACTGTCGCAAAACTGCACGAGAGCTTGTTGCCCGCCGCTCGCAAGACCAAACACGCGCGCGGACGGCTGGTTTTCGAAGAGGTGGGGCGACTAGAGGCCAGCTGACGCGATCATGACGGAGGTTGCTTTCAAACTGTGGTCGGTGGCATGCACGATCGGTGTCTCCTCCCCACCAAGAACCGTGTTCCTTGCCTTGCTTCGCTTCTCGCGTGTGCACTCCCTCTTCGGGGCTTTTAAAAGATAAAAGACAGCGCGAAGCCCCGGAGGGGCGAACTCTTCGACAACACCGGTTCGACAGGGTTCTGTTCTGTTCTGTACGCGACAGTGGGAAGGGCCTAACCTCGGAGGGCGACGGCACCGGTTTTCGAGCAGGTCGCGCAGGGTCGGCGCACTTTCTGCCCTCCAAGGTCCGACCTTGACCAAGTTACGAGCCAACAACAGCTCCCGTCCATCGCGAAACGCGGATCGTCGTGACCAACGTTTACGTAACGCGTGTTTGTGTGCGGTTTTGGCGACGCAGGTCGTGCGAGAACACCTGTGCGTACCCCTCCGAGTACAACTGACACAGGTTTGTATAGTTTCCTCGTTCTTCCTTCCTGGCAAGGGATTTCTGCGGTTTGGTTAACGCTCTAATTGGGACCATTGTGGAATGATAAACAAACGGTGTCATTCGGAGCAGCTGCGTGAATCAATTTTTTAACCCTTTGCACATTTGTTAAACGCAAGTCTAACAAATTTTGTTAGTTACTCCACTGCAAACATAAAGGATTTATGGTATCAACGCTTCAAGTAAGCTGTAAGAATTTATAATCAAGTCTAATGATACCAAAAAGGACACGTTTCCAAAGTGAGACTGTTTTATGTAATCGATTTCTGTTCGCACATTTTACAACGAGATGCCGCAGAGTGCAAAGTGTTAACTCAAATTTTGAAGCCACTTAATTTATTGGTCTTCTAAGTTTTCAATGTAGGAGTAAATAATTTACTCCTAAACTACATGTTTGTTCAGTGAAAAACCAAGAAAGAGTACATTTTTCGAGTCACGAAGTCCCTTGTAAACACCTGATAACGCATTCCCAGCGCGCATTTTAATGTCTCCAAAAAAATTAACAGGGAGAACAGTAACAACTGGGACGCTGTGGCAGAGTATCTTCTTTTATAGCCAGTTAGTAGAAGACATGAAACCCAATGCGGAACTCGGACCGTAAAAAAGAGACCGCCCAGCCTCGCAAGCGTCTCTTCATAGTCACGTCGCTTTTCATGGTAGACGGGCGTTTCCCTAAAGCGCTATACCCTCGTAGCTCTTCGCTTTATGAGCAGAAGCCTGGCCATTTAATTTCCCATGAGAAATTGCCCGTGTCCGTGCAACTCGAAGCCCGCCGGCATCCCCGTCCTGTCTGCGTCACACATGCGAAACGTCCATTCATTGATAACGTTCTTCTCAAACCAGGAAGCACCTGACGCCAGCTGAACTGGCCATTTCCGAAATGACCACGTGCTGACCATACGTCACATAGAGGCCGACCTTAAAGCCGCCCTTTCCCTATTCCCAACGAAACGCTCGTTCCCGATACCCTCGGTTCGTCCGGCGTTCGATTTCGTTTCGCATTCCATCCTGTCGATCCTCTTTCGCGATCCTCTCGAGTTACTCGAGTGATCGATAAAACGACACCCACGTCAAGGGCAATCCGTGGTCCCCGTGTTAAAGAATACCCATCGGACGCTTACGACGGATGGAATTATCTCGATATCGCCTTTCCTAACGCTGGCATAGCGTGAGAAGTATGTCAGATTGTTTTAGTCGACAGGAATAGGAAGCTCTCGGTTATTAAATTACACGCTTGAAAACAGTACGCGATTTGTAACTCTATAGGTCACTAGTACTCATTGTGACTACTAAAGAAGCCTCGGAAATTTTGTAATTTTATGTTTCTACGTTCATCCTCAATATAAGTGGGAAAAAATGCCCATGGAGTTGTGCCCTATAAAGGGTTAAATCTATCGATGCCTCCCCCCATCTTTACACTATAAAAGTTCATAACTCCACAGGTACTCTAGGAACATCTACCATAAATCCTGTTGATCTTTTCTTCGGCGAAAGCCGAGTTTCTCGAACAATCGCGAACCGTGTGATATTACTTCGGATGGATTTCGTTTCCCCTCGCGTCGCGTATGGATGAAATATACATCGGGCCCCGTTCGATACCGGTTTGGTCGGCCGTCTCTTAGAAAGCAACCGGGTCCGCGAGCCACGAAGAAGTCGTTCCATGCTGGAACGAGATGCTCTCGTCTGACGCGAAATCGGCGAAGGCATGATCGCGTGTACGGTATAGGTAGCGAACGCTTTGCTGTCGAGCTGCGGGGAACGAAATTGCGATGTGATTGCACCTTATTAGGGATGAGTCCGACGATGACTCGCTAGGGGAAGCAGCGATTGTCTGGCTGGCAGAGGAGCATCGTCCTCTGCTCGTGATCTACCCAGACGAGATCCGCGGAACGTAGCACCAATTAGGGGCATTGCGGCTCGGAACTCGTTCCAACAAGTCGACTACCTGCGACGATCCTGGCCTCGTTCGGAACCACTTTTTGACCTGCAACAATATCCGTGATTTTTTTTTTAGTGTCGCCAACTTTGGCACTGGTTGGTCGTTAACTTGAACGACACTCCGGACTAAAATATTTTTAAGGGTTTAGTGTACGATAAAGAAATTGAAGAGTATTGATTTTGGTGGTTTTGAAGTTCTGGCTTAGCGGTTATGATTATACATTATGTGTTAATGGGTGTCAGGTGTAGAGCTATCATTCTATATAATTATAAATAAGCTTACAGTATGTACAAATTACTGTTTATAATGGGATTAAATTTAATCTTGGAATAATCAATTAACAAAAACTAAGAGATCTACTACTAAACTGTTCCGGCACTTCTCGTAAAAGAATATCAAAGCTGCCACAGCTATGTGGAAATCGATTTCCCCGTATTCCGCCCAACGGTGGGTAAATTACTTCATCAACGATTCCGGAATGCAACAAATATTGTGCAACGATTGGGAAATATCGTTGCGCTTTCAGGTCCCTGATAAAAGCAGCTATATTGGTGATGAAACGTCGAGAAAGATATGCCGCGTACATTTTTCGAAAATAATCCTCAACGAAAGTCACGATAATTACGAAACATTCTTTACTGTTTTCAGTTGTCATTCGAACGAACGACTCTTCCTAAGAGATTTCGTCTCCTGCACTGTCGGCACGAGCGGAGGTCGCTTGGCAAGATGGTTGCAACCGGACAGCTTCGTGGATCCATCGAAATGCGAGGCACTTTATTCCAAGGACAAAATGAAATGTGGATGGCCTGCGATAGTTACCATACTCACCAGAGACCAGTACGGGGACGTCGTTCACGTGCCCAATTTAAAGGTATGATAGTTGAAGCCGAGCTTCATAACTTTAGAAACATTAGGAGTGCTTAGAAGTGCAATCGCTGAACCTTGCTCTTTCACCTTGCTTTCAGAAAATCAAATATATTTTACACTCTATTTTTTTTTTTTATGTAGTGAGAGAAGTAAAAAATATAAATATGAAATCGATGAAAAATTACGCAGTTTGAACTGAACGAACAACTAATTAATATTTCGCAGGTCGAGGTGAAGGCAGTCCCCATAGACAAGAAGGACTTGGCAGATTCCGAACAAGGAAGAAGGATTCGACGAGTGTCTCAGCCCGATCCGATGACCTTCGGTGGTCATCCTCAACCTTCGTTGGACGTGCCGTACGAGGTCACGATCAACAATAAGACGTGCTTCTATGCAATTACTATCATGAAGGCTTATCAGAACTACTCGTTCGAGGAGTTAAGGTTTATGTCACCGGCTATAAAGCGATCAAGCGAGAGTATGTTGGTGAGACCTAACGGCGATGGAAGCTACAGCGCGACCTGGACTCCGTCGTCCGTGGGATGGTATTCGCTTATGATCACGGTGGACGGTTACAATATGGACGATGTGAGTAGTCGACCTTCATCATGTTTCGAACAGAGATGGGCTGAAGTTTATATTAAAAATGGAAACACCTCATACTGATATATTTTCTCATAATCGATCTATTTGCTATGAATTACAGCATTCTATAATCAAAGCACTAATTTTTGCTTAACAAATAGGGGATGAGGTGTTTATTTTTGTTTCATTATTTGAAAGAATTTCTAAAGAATTGATCGTTATTTTCTATCGACACTCCTTGTTTTTCCCCCTAGAATTACAAAGTTGAAGTGAAGGAGCCACCACAGGGCATGCAGCCACCTACGCAGAATATCGTGAAGAAGCCGCAGCATCAACCTAACAGACTCAGGAAATTCATGGCGAAGAATAGCGCGGGCTTGAGGATCAGAGCCCATCCTTCCCTTCAGAGCGAGCAAATTGGCTTCGTTTCAGTTAATGATACTATAGCCTTCATAGACGAGGTAATCTTGTTTCCATCGTATAGGTCTAATTCTTGCTGTCGGCAAGAGTCTAGTTTATCAAGTTTTTACGTGAAGATTATCGCTCTTGAACTGGTATTTTATATAATCGAAAGTACAGATTCCTGATCTGTTCTACACAGCAATATTGAGATTCTTGGACTAATTTTTCTTTCGTTTTGTTTACATTTGTGTCTCTGCATGCCCAAAAATTTCATTTGAATAGATTCACAACGACGATGGCGTTTGGTTGCGATTGAACGCGGAAACGATCAAGCAGTATTGCAGTAGCAGCCACCTGGAGGCCTGGTGCCTGCAGTACAATCAACACCTGGGAAAGACCTTGCTTCTCCCAGTCGAGGAGCCCAAGTCCATCCTGGATCAAGTCATCAAGGAAACCATTCTGCGCAAGCGGCCCGAAGTGGTCGAGGAGTACGTACATCGACGTTTTGTTCGTGGTAGTTGTAAGAAGAGTCTACTCTCTCGTTTCAGTAAAAGGAAAACGGTCACCTTTGACTCCGGTAGAAGCATGGTCGTCGTGAAATGCGGTGCATCGGGTCACAATATCAGAAGCAGACCCAATCTGAAGGCAGCGCCTGTGGGAATGCTAGCTCATGGCAACACGGTGACCGTTCAGGACTACGTAAGTCTCGACTCTTCCGTTCCACTGTTTTTCTTTTCCCTTTCTCTTTTACTTGGGAATGTAAGATACATGTACACCTTTACATAACATCAATTTAAATTTTATTCTATCACTGCTATTTGACTTTTTCCTAGAATCTTAAGGACCTACCAAATTTTATGTACATTAACTTCTTTGAGTCTTTAACAAATTCTATCCTGGTTATGAAACAATTATGAAAATCTTTTTACTTTATACACTACATATTTACAATTTTTATGTTCGCACTAAGGAAACAAATTTGCGATGATCAGCTTCGGAATTTTATTATTTTCATCGGTACTCGGTATTAGAAACGTAATTAACGTTTCGTAATTAGAAACGTAGTTAACGTATGTTAACTTTGCTATTCTAATAGGGAAAGAAGATTTACGCAGGATTCTGTACAATTGTTACAGTTTGTAAACAGCGAAGGTACTTGGGTGCGCATCGACGACGACTCGATGGCCAAGTACTGCTTCGACAGAGGCCGCGTGGCGGAAGGCGAAGCTTGGTCCCTCGCCATCAACAAACACGGCGTGGCTTACATGAAGATCGAGCACGATCTCGAGAACGATCCGATGGAGAAGAAACCAGTGATAGCAGATCCGTCCGTTTCACCTAGTCATAAAGGTTTCGATTTCTCCGTGCCTTCCGCGAGCCACGAGGGATTCAATTTCTCCACGCAGAATTACACGCCGGGAACCGCAGAGTCTGGAGAGGGCAGCAATACGAATCCATTTATTTTTGGCTCGTACGTTCAGCAAGATTCGCCAGGTACGAGTCTTAAAAAAATATCAGACGTAGGAAAAAATTCTGTGGCTTTCAGTTTCGCGGAGAGCGTCCGCTTTAAATTTCAAATTAAATGCGAACCCGAGACAAACTTTCCGCGAAGCGAGAAACTTTTCCCGATGATTTGCTTCAGAGGAATAAAATTCCCAAGGAAGGTAAATGAATCTGTTAGACGTCTGCCTTCCTTTGATCACTGGAAAACGGACAAAAATGATTTGGATAAACTCCGACCAACTATTGTAATAATTTCAAGTGGGAGACGATGAAGAATTTTTCATCGACTAGGAACGATTTAATTTCTTTAAAGCACCAGAACTTCTAGGTATACATCGGCATTTAAATACTCACCAATCCCATAAACCTGTTTATTTATTGGATTGGTGGGGTATTTAAATTAAATATTTTTAATTATTTATTTTTTATTTAATATTCGTTTAATTATACATGTTTAAGATTGATTATCTATATTTATTTACGAATTTAAATTATATGTCACACATATTTGATACAATTGTTTAAGGTACATAATATGTCTGATTTCATGAATGAATATATAATACATTTATAGGTAATATATATAAGTATATAGGTATAAATCGGTATTTAAATACACATCATCCGATAAACCTGATAAATTTTATAATAAAGCGAGTCGCGTTTGACGATATATCTTACACCTCAGGAAGCGATAGATTCGCGCTGGAGAAGATCGACGTTTCGCCAAAGTTCTCGAAGCCCCATTCCAAGGAAAGAGTGGCAAAGGAAAGGGAGCGTGAAGGCGGCGGTGGGAAATTCAGCGTTTTGCAGAAGTGGCTGAGAGGCGACGACAAGTGTCACGGAGAGAAGAGAAGTTCTCCTGGCAGGTGAACAAAAGGAATGAACGTAGCGATACGTGCAGTTAGATTAGTTTCGTCATATAGTTTTGGAATGTGCAGGGATTTTTCCGAGTTCGTCGGGGTATCTGTGAAGGAGCTGGTGAAGGCGATGGGCGAGAGCAGGGCGAATGGCAACGGAGCCACGCCGCCCGAGACGCCGAGAAGGCTGTCGAGAAGCTCTTCGCCGAAGAATCCCCAAGGTGGGTCACCAAGATTTCACAGCCCGTCCTCTAGCCCGGTTCAGATACCTGGTACGTATACGCCGCCGTGCAAACAATTAAAACGAATCGCAGCCGTACTCGACGGATCTCTTTATATTCCTCTAACGGTCTCATTGTTAATCTCATACATTCATGTGTGTGTCTTACTCCACACTTTCGGCACCGTAACTGGTCTGAGGAGGGAATCATTTCAGAAGCTGAGAGACCCGATACTGACACTTGTAAGACTGTTTAGCGTCCCACAGACGTTTTCTCTACTCTGTGGAATGGATATTTAGAGTATACCACTAAGTCTCGCCATAAGTTTCACACCTCTCTGATTTATCTATTATAGTTGAACGAATGATCCTAGACTATAAATATTTAAAACAGACTATTTATTGGACTAGTTATAACAAAATAGTGATGTTGGTCTTAGCTGGGTCCAGTCGGCAGCCAGTTGGTTCTGGTAATTGCCTCTTCCCTCCTGCTGCTCATGCACCAGGTACTCGATCCTTTCCTACTGAACATAATCCTCAGTCTGTACAGTCGAGAAATAGTCAATAGTGTTTATGTTGTTGATAAACTCGCATTACACACGCCGCATTACACTGACCACTGTTCAACAACGAATGCAATGGCACAGTAGATTTATCTTCTTCGAAGACCGAACTGCATGCGGACAAAAGTACTTGAAAACTGTACAAAGTATAAGCCGATTGATGCACGCACAAAACTCACCGTTGTTCACCGTTCAACCCTTTACGAATTATAGATTCGAAATAGTGCATATGACTATATATTAGCGTATTAATGAAACGTTCACACACGACATCTGAATTCTACAACTGATCAAAAATTACCAGGTGGGAGAAGCTTGATAGGAGGGGGAGATAGTATAAGTAGCAGCCCTGTGCTCTGTGGCTCCCCCCGAAGTGTCGGCCTCTCCCCGTTAGGTAAGAATAACAACACACAATTAAGAACTCTCCGAACTCTACACTGACATCAAGATCGCTACATCGGTCATTCTTTTCAAAAATCATAATCGCATAGCACTTTGTTCGACGGTGAACTCATTCGATCGTCACTTCAAAGTCACCCATTCGTTCACGATAAAGTCGCACGTACTTATATTGCACGAAATTAACACTTTATGCGAGAGAATGTTACGTGAAACGTTACTATCTTTTTTTTATATCAGTGTCCACTGTCTTTGAGACGCAAGGTGAGATAGCAATACTCTTGCGACAGTAAAGCAGAGGACATTTAGTCGTAAGCTTTGCATCGAGTGTAACAATTATCAACGAGTTCTCCGCTTTTCTTTTTCAAGTCTCCGGTGGTATGCTGGACAGCACCACGTCGCAACGACGGGGATCAACGCAGAGCGATACAAGTGCCTTGGTCAGTAGTCTAACGAGGGATCCTTCTCAGTCTCCCAGCGCTGTTAGCACAACTGCCAACACCCGCGACCTTTCTCCGAGTCCGAGTTGTAGTTCATTACACATGAGGTCCGAGGGTAGCATAGCCAGTCCACCGGATACCCCGAAGAAAGATAGCGGAGTAAGTTATCGACTGGCCCTCTTTAGGGCAAAGTTGATCGTAGAATAAAAAGACACAGTAAAAATGTTAACCCTTTGTACTCGGAGCTATTTCGTTATAGAATATGCAAACAGGAATCATGTCGTATCACATAATGTAACTTATAAAACGTGTAATTTACTGTAATGACACTCGAGCTTATATGAATCTTTAGACATCGAGGGACATATCTATGTCAAAAGTCAAAATTTGATAATATTCTAATGTGTGATACTGTGTGTATCTTTTAAGTTGCAATTTTAGGCTTCCTTGTTTATCTTCACAAATTGCATCATGTCATACAAAATATGTTCTCACATCTTGCCTGGACTTACGATGTCCCTAGAAGAAGCATCCGAATGCAAAGGGTTAAAATCGAAACTAAATTTACAATGTTCTTCCAAGGATTCTCAAGGTAGTCCACGGAAAGTCTCCCAGGCGCAGACCCAGACGAGTCCCGAGAGCGCGACGACAGCCATGAAGGGTCACTTCAGCATCGGTTCCGTTGGTCCCAAGGAGGAGCGTCATTCGCCAAAGCTGAGTAGAAGGGATCACACGAAGATAGTGAAGACCAGGGCGAAACGCGCGATGTCTCCAGCCAGCTCGCACCAAAGTACGAATGCGAGTCGAACGTTGAACTTGAGCAAGGAGAAGGCGAAGGAAGCCATCAGTCCGTCTGTGGCGGAGTGTCTGAGAGCCGTGTTCGCGGCGTTCCTTTGGCACGAAGGGATCGTCCACGACGCGATGGCCTGCGCGAGTTTTCTCAAGTTTCACCCGAGTTTGCCGAAACAGGGCGCCCTGGTTGTGACGAGGCAAGCAGTGGTGCAGCCCAACGACAAGCAAACGCAAGAGCAAAAGGCCAGGCAGCGACACTCCGTCGAGGTAACCAACGCTGGGAACTATTTGCACATTCAGCCCAGTACGTTGGAAACCCTAACGCGGTCTGCTGCGAACGCGAATGCGAACAGGAGCAGGAAGAAGCAGGAGATCACCATCAAGGAAGAGGTTCAAGCGAACGGCAAACTCGGTTCTCTTCCAGAATTTCAAACAGTAGCGGTCCTGCCACCCGCCTTGAAGAGCTTGGTGTTCCTGTGGGAGGAGCTCAGCACTAATTGTCTCCAAGCCATCGAGCAACAATCGGTTCTGCCGAGTCCTATATCGCAGATACAAACGATGAAGCTGAGTAGTAAACGACCGGTACCAGAGAAACGGCCTCGAGAGGACAAGCTGAAAGATCGCGAGAAGAAAGGCAGCAGGAAGAAGAAAGAATGGAAACCAGTTGGAAGGGGAAACGGGGCCGAAGTGTTGGGTAGCATAGAACGCGAAACTATATGTGAACTGTGCGGTCTGATGTTTCCTCATCCGGTGACTTATCACATGAAGATGATGCATCCCGGTTGCGGGTGGCACGCGGGCGGGAAAGGTTACAACAGCGGCGGGAATTATTGCATCGGTTGGGCGGGGAACTGTGGGGACGGTGGCGTGGGTGGTAGTTCGTGGTACCTAATCTGTGATACGTGTCGCGATAAGTATCTGAGAGCTCGAAAGCTGAAGCTCATGAAGAAATTTTTGACGGGAATATCGAAAAGGAAAAACGGCTCTGGGAAGATCCTGTCGCCGATCGCTAGTCCTAATGGGAACGAAACGCACATTGTCATGAAGAACAATGCTATGTTCCTCTTAGACCTGGCTAGTGCATCTGGCTTGAACATTCCGAAACAACAAAGACGATCTTCGCAAACGTTAACATCGGTAGCTGAGAATTACAGTCCCCCAGAGGCAGCTGGACCGTTTCCACCTACTGGTCCTTTTCAGTGTTTGCAAGCATTGGGAGTGCATCATTCGCAAAGTCACGATGAAAGGTACTACGAAGAGGCGTTAAGGCGTCAAAATGGACAGCAGAACGCTTACGAGGGGAATAGTGGCATGTTTAACACTACCAACGGCCGGGTAAGAGAACGACACCCTTTACGCGATTTCCAACCGGTAACTGTATCGTTTTCACAGCCGGTGTCGGAATATCCCATGAGCGACAGCGACAGCGAAAGTGGTAAAGGTCGTGGCATGTTTCATCGATCTGTATCGATGTCTACCGGCGCTCCCTGGATCAGAAATTCTAACGATGGTAGAGTTGTTATGATGCGTAAAAGAAATAACAGTAGTAGCGAAATGAACAATGGTATCTATATAACTGCAGATTCATTTTCGTTCGTGAATTACATTTTCAAAACTATGAGAATACGTTTTCGGTTGCAGATGCCGGTTCGTCCCTTCTGTGTTACCCTTCCGCGGCGCTTCAGAAATTGGTACCGTCAATGGACCAATCCGCGATCGTATCCACGAGTCAAGCCGAAGTAACGAATAACGACAGAATAGAGATACTCATGAGGCCCGTGATGTTGTTTGTCCTACAACAACATAACTTGCAACATTTACAACTTGCCATGAAGCAATCGCTCCGTCGCGCTGCCTGTCGAGTTTACGCGATGCAGGCGTTAAACTGGCTGCTCAGGAGTGTTACTCAACCGATATGTCTGCATGACTTGCTTTGGTGGTTCGTTGCTTCTTTGACACCAGCTGTGTCACCCGAGCCTATAGACGCGAATGACGAGGACAACCGAATTGAGAAGAAAGATGATCACGTAAGCGCACGTTAATATAGAAAATTAGTGCTTATTATTAAAACATTGTTGACCGTTCACGAATAAACTCGTATCTGCACTTGTAATATCTATTTCAATTTATGAAACCTAGGGTGACATAACAAAATTTTATAGTTATGTCAGTTATATATACATGTGTAGTTATGTAGACTATTTCGTTTCAATTCATTGTGTTGGTAAAATATAAATAAAGTTTATTAGAGTTTATGTGGATTATTTCAATTTCAGTAATAGCCGGTGACACGAAGTCGCTTCTGTGTAGAATAGCCGGTCAACAATGTGTTGATAAAGAATTATTAATCTTTTAGGACATGGTTGGTGTATGCGAGCATCCTCTCAGCGACCTAGTAATCGCAGGCGAATCTGTTAATCCTCTGCCAACAGTATTTCATACTTTGTTACAAACCATTGCTGATCTGATGCTTCTGCCACCACTTGGTAAGCATCTCGTACTATCTATAACCAATGTTCACCGAGTAATATCGTCAATTTTATGCCTAAATTTTAGGATCGCCACTACAGGAAGCTGCTATCCGATGCTGGGGCATTAAATTCACCCCTGCGGATCATATGTTTCTCCACAGAAGTCACGTGTTTAGTAACATCAGTAAAATACTCTCAAGATCCGAAGAAGAAGAGGATGTCACTATGAGTATGCACGAAAGCCATCAGTCGACCCATTCTCAGCAAGTAACTAGTTCCGTGGAGGTTTTGAAAGACTTGACGTGTGGCGTTGAAATCAAAGCCTCGAGTAGGCAGGCTATGATTGGTAGTTTGACTGACAACTCGACGGAAACTTTCTGGGAATCTGGTGACGAGGACCGCAATAAGATTAAAACGATTACCATCAGCTGTGGCCATCGTTCCCTTCCTCGAATGATATATATTCATATTGATAACTGTCGCGATTTAACGGTAAGTATTACTTTGCAATTTAATTGTTGCTCCGCTACAATTTTGTTTTTATCGTGTTCGTTTTGTAGCACAAGGTGTCCAGTGTCACATTTCAAGCAGGCAGTAACGTAGATGAAATGGTCAAACTAAGAACCGTGGAGATTGAAAGCCGATCAGCTGGTTGGATCAACTGTCCGGTTATTGGTAATTTCGGAACATACTGTTAATTACACTGTTAATTCTATTTGAATACTGACGCTAGCTTTTCTGTAGATCCGCGTCATGTTGTCGTGGGTCTCGAATTAAAGAGCCCGGACAATTCTTTACGAGTGCGGCAAATAAGAATTTTAGGCGAGGTCGAGGGGGAAGCCTTAAAAGTCGGAAAACAATTGAGCGCTCAAAGGATTCAACAGAGAAATTGCGAAGCAGAAACATTGAAAGTGTTCCGTTTGATCACTTCTCAAGTAAGTTAACTACATTTATATATTTGTACAACTCTAGGCATATTTATAATTTATTTTCACGTATCAGGTATTCGGCAAACTTATACAAGGAGAGCAACCCCAACAGCAAGTGGAATCTGCGGAAGGAGTTAACGAAGACTTGGAGGATAGCAACGATCTTCGAGAGCATATGGTTGGAATTTTGTTCAGCAGAAATAACCTAACGCATCTACAAAAGCAAGTTTGCACGCATATCGTGCAAGCTATTCGGAAAGAAACTATTCGCCTATGGGAAGAGTGGGAAACACTTCTATGCTCGCCAACGCCTGCTAATAGTTTGCTGAGCGATAACAGCGATTTACCAAAAGCAGCTGATACCTATTGCTTCGAAATGCTATCCATGGTTCTTGCTTTAAGCGGTAGTTCGGTTGGACAGTACTATCTATCGCATCAATATGGATTACTGAAAGACTTATTGAGTCTGTTACATACTGGTTCAGCTAGAGTGCAGCGTCAAGTATGTACTTTATTTTTCGTTATTTCAACCTTCCAACATATTAAGTACTATTTTGTTTTTATTTGTTCAGGTAACGGCTCTTTTGAAAAGAATTTTACCCGAAATCAAGCCAGAAACATTGGCCAATGTCATCAATGTTGATCGATTACCGCCCACAGACTTTAGCATTGTTTCGGCTGCGAATAATGGGTTCACGCATAGCACAGACTTTGATCAACACGCTCCAGGGATTCTCGATGTTTTCTTAAGTTGCATTGCGAAAGCATTAACGGTACAAGTTAAAGTAAAAGGTAAAGAAAACGGAAAGGCTCTACAAACTGCTGCATTAGCAACGAGCATACATCCAAAGAGTTACGTTGGGTCAAGATGGTGGTTAAGAGGATGCATGACTCGAAAGTTAGCTGAAGTGATAATTCAACTTCTGAAGGACATGGCGTCCGTAAGTGTTGTTTAAATTTAATTTACAACGTTCGACTGATTATTCATTGCTGATATTTTTATTCTAGGGTAAATTATCAGACGCGTGGGCATCCGTAACCAAAGCAGCCATTGCTGAAAACATTTTAAATCTCACCAGACTAGACGAGAAAAGTCGCGATCCCACGGAATGCCTTCGAACTCCAACATTATGGTTGGCTCTATCCTCCTTGTGCGTTTTGGACTCGGATCACGTCGAAAGATTATCTTCTGGACAATGGAGTGGGACTGAGGGACAACCACCACCACCTCGAGTAAGATTAATGAATTGCTTTCACAAGTCCTTCAATCACATTTTTAATTTTTTAAAACTATCGATTACTTTGTTTATTTAGCCAACGTGTAGTAACCACGATGACGGCGAAACAACGGCAATAATCCAGTGCAACGTTTGCGGAAACCTATGTGCTGAATGCGATCGAATTTTACATTTGCATAGAAGAACACAAATGCATGTAAGGCACGTTTGCAAGGAGGAGGAGGAAGCCATACGGGTAGATCTCCACGAAGGTTGTGGCCGAACGAAACTGTTCTGGATTTTGGCCCTCGCCGACAGCAGAACGTTGAAAGCGTTGGTAGAGTTTCGCGATGGTTCACCAAGGAAACCAGTTGGCGCCACGTCGGGAATCTGCAGATTCTGTGGCACCACTGGGAACACAGGCTTGCTAGCGATAGGGAACATTTGCTCGGATCACGATTGTCAAGAGCACGCTAAAAATGCGTGCAGCAAGATGCACCTATGTGGACACATCTGTGGAGGTGTTCGAAACGAGAAGACTTGTTTGCCTTGCCTCCACAGATGTCTACCAGGCAGCGATTTGAAACAAGACGCCGACGACATGTGCATGATTTGTTTCACGGAGGCTTTGTCAGCAGCCCCAGCGATTCAGTTGCAATGTGGTCACGTTTTCCACCTGAATTGCTGTAGGCACGTTTTAATGAAACGATGGGTAGGACCGAGAATAACGTTTGGATTCTCCCTGTGTCCGATTTGCAAAGTGCCAATGGAACATCCGACCCTAACCGAGCAGTTGACAAGTATTAACGAGTTGTACGAAGACGTTAAGAGAAAGGCTTTGATGCGAATGGAGTACGAAGGATTACACAAGTAAGTACCAGTTCTGAACAAGTATCGAAAGGTACATATAGGTGTTCGTTAAGTTTATACTGTTATTTCTGTAATCAGGGCTGAAGCAACGTTTACTGGCGGAAAGTACCACCAAGATCCTGCTGCGTATGCAATGGAACGATACGCGTATTACGTTTGTTACAAATGCCAAAAGGCCTATTACGGTGGTGAAGCTAGATGTGACGCACAAGTAGGCGGAGAATCGTTCGATCCCACAGAATTAGTATGTGGAGGATGTAGCGACGTGGCAAGGGCTCAGATGTGTCCGAAGCACGGGACAGACTTCCTGGAGTACAAGTGCCGTTATTGTTGCTCAGTGGCAGTCTTCTTTTGCTTTGGAACCACCCACTTCTGTAACCTCTGCCACGACGACTTCCAACGTGTCACCACCATTCCAAAAGGTGAACTACCTTTGTGTCCCGCAGGTCAGTCTATTCCTCGAGATTTTTCGTTTCCTCTTAATTTAATTTTCTATATATCTAACCGCAATTGTTCGTTTCATTTAGGACCAAAGGGAAAACAACTCGAAGGCGACGAGTGTCCATTGCATGTGAAACATCCACCAACCGGAGAAGAGTTCGCGCTAGGTTGCGGCATTTGCCGTAATGCACACACTTTTTAAACATTTTCGAATTAATTAGATATACACAGGATATGCAAACTATCTCACGATTTGTACTCGATGTAACGCGGTTGGTGATTCTCGGTGGATCTTATCAATGCAACTATATTAATGCAACTGGACCTATAAATCGATGGGTATCCTCGTAATAATTACGCATCTCTATTCGAAGTAAAAGCTACGGTGTGTACCGATTTTTTCGAGAATCCTTATAATTATCGCAATTGTGGAATTGACGCAATATAACTGGATGCAGGAGGAATAATCAAATAGTCTGAACTGAATAGATACAATCATGAGTGAGAATCTGATGGTGATGCGTGAAACTCTAATACTTGTTAAGTATTACATAAGTCGTTTTTATTGGTAATTTTAGAAATTACTAAAACGCATAGAGGAAAGATAGGAAGAAAGTTGTGCGTGTATTAAACTTCCATGGAAAGTGAACAATGAGAGGGTACACGTACATAAGTCATGCGATGTGTAGTGATTTGTTTGGTAAAATATTCTAGATGTAAGTGTTTAATTTAATGTACAGGTTGTTCCACCAAAAAGAGTATACCTTGATTTGCTCTTTTGAATAATAGAGAAAAGGGTTGCCTGCAGAGTTGTATGGTACTTCAAATATTATAAATTTAGACTATTGTATCCATTTAGTAACATTAACTTAATATTCAAATCTCCTAAATATCGCTTCCCACGAACTAGTGCCATCGTATTACTCCCCCCACGAAGAATGTACAACTTTTGTAAGTAGCACATCTTCCTATTACTTGATACAGCAGATACGTTGAGGTAACTTGTTTCTAGCGGGACACCCTGATAATATAATTCTCTACACTATTTGAGATATATTTAATTATTATCGACAATGATCCTAATAAGTTATGTATGTAGGTAAATTATGTATGTGAAAGAAGTGTGTTATTTAAAATTGCGAATTAAACTGTGAAGTCTACATAAATTAAAGCAAAAAAATATATATATATAAACTTGAATAAAATAAAAAGTACAGTTTGTGCTTTATGGAATGTATCAAGATTCGAATTGTCGTCATTCAAAATAGTTATAAAATTCGCATTTCTTGTCTTTGAAACTTTCATTTGTTTTTTATACTTTTCCAAACGTATAGTATGTGTACCGTTATGTTTCCGGGTGTTATTTATTTGGTTACCAGTGTAATTGCCTTGTACTACATGCGCTGTTTGTAAAAATGGTAGAATCGCTGCGTATATTCGTATACAGATGTAATGTGTGAACGATAATCACGCATTAAGCGATGGTTGTTATTATTTGTGTTTCAATCTTGTGCAGATCAAATGAAAGTAATGATTGCGAAAAGATATTGCCTTTTACTCACCTGTTGCCTCGTGGAGAGCTGGGATACCTTGTCGAATTCCGCTGTATGGTGATACAACGCCATTACGCCGTAAACCATTGTAGAGTATATTCGTGTTTTGTTGAACCCTCGAAGTATTAATACTTCAAAAATGATACTTAAGCACTTGATATTCGAATAACGATCACAAGCATTCGAAATTTATTCGTGGCATTCGAAAACTCACAAAATAATCAAGAACTTCAGACTCTCACACATTCACGCTGCACTTTCTTTGAAAATGGTGACCAAACGATTCGAGAATCAAAAGCAGCGCACTTTTCGACTCCCGATTGATCGATCCAAGATGGCGCGCGGGCAGCAGCGCCGCGGCACGGCAGTTAGTCTTAAGCAGTGCGAGGTGTAACGTGTGTGTGTGCGCGCGATCCTGACGTTTTTCGCCTCGATCAGCGGTAAGTAGCCTTTATTTACGAGTCGTGCAACAATAGTTACATAATTCCCGAGTCGCGTGATCCGTGTGTACACGTTGTTCGGTTAGCCTTTGGCGGGAAATGTGTGTTTTCTGATGGGAAACGTTGGTGTATCCGCTCGGTCGGAGATGATCTCCTACGCACGTTCGTGCCACCCTGCCAGCACTGGCTGTCAACTCGCTCTGTTTATTTTTACCACGAATCGGAGCCAATTACAAGCCGGGTGATAGTTTAATTGACCGAAATTACGTGTCTTCTTTGTTCAGTGAAGAATTCTCCAGTCAAGATTTACGACAACTGGCGTTTACCGATCCGATTCTTTACGAAACATTCTACGAAAAACAATAACCGGATCATCTGTATTTAGACAATGATTGTGCGCGTAGCTAGTCTCTCTGATTCATGTTTTCAGAGTATATCAGTAAGATTTTATTATCACGATAAAGAATTCGTGTTAAGTTGTCGTCTGCTGTGTCGATACTTAACCTCACTCCGTTCACTTGACTTGGAGTACTGTCACGTTATAGACGCTTTCGAGGGTATAAGGTCTTTGGTTTCCGGTAGTCGATATCGCTTATAGCAGTCAATGTCACCCTGTTTCATTGCCATTCTTTTTAAGAGAATTCATTTTAAATGACATTTCTTGACATAATAATACGTCTAAAGACACTGGATATTTGTTTTCGATCGGTCGAAAAGACGTTACTGGGTCGAACGATTTACATGTAGCTTTAATATTAACCACCACGCGGTGTGAATCACGATCAAAGCCAGTGCCGCAAAAGTAGTTCCTGTTCAGTAAATTGCTGCTCCGTTTGGTAGGGTTAACCTTCCGGTGGCACGCGAAACAATGTTCAGCTTTGTTTCGGATGCGATAAGACTGTCAATACGAATATAATGAGCCGGGTAGCTGGCAGACGCGTTTAATTTTGTACTTTTTCAACCGCTGGCGTGTTTATTATTGTCGCTCTGGATATGGCATCGCACGCATTCCTAACGAATCGGTGGCATGTCCAGGCAACCAGGAGGGAACCCGTGACTAGAGCATTCCAGTGGGAAATACCCTCTTCGCGGGACCCGTTTAGATTCACGTGAAACTGGTTTTAGACACGTGCGTACCACGCGGTCTAATGCATTTCACGCGTCTCACGCATCCAAGAGTCGAGCACGCGCCTCTAGCATACGGAGTGAACGGCACGCACACTATCATTCGCACCGACAGTACACTTTGCCAGCAATAATGAATGACTCGTTCTTGTCTGTTTCCGTTTTCTCGGGAAACGCGTTGCTCCAGGCCAGTGTTTCTCATACTTCTCACAGAAACCCTCGATAAAGGAACATTCTTGGAGGTCACTCTGCGGTAGAATCAGGGCTAATTATAGAGAACAGGTACATTCTTACCGATTTCGATGATTTTTAAATACGTTGTGGAAATCAACATTTTGAACAACATTATTTTATACATATAACCGTCGCTCGGCCTTAGTTTCCGAGATATTTGCACTGTTTGTTCAATTAAAAGTACAGGGCTTTGAAAACCACTGTTTCAGGCGGCGAGCATAGGAAAGACTACCTGACACTGAAGCTACCAGCCTTCTATTCTTTGTCTCGTTTAATTCAACTTGCATTTCTTTGTTTTCTTTTTCGCACTTAACTCGCATCAGGATCGAGTTTCTCGAGTTTAATTAAGATAAATGTCTCATTTGTCGCCTCATGTTTTGACAGTCGTCGCTCCGAATGGAGTTAGAAAATTCCGTGTACTATTTTTAGCTTCGTTATAAGATAAGATTTCTTATACGAAGTACAAGCACTATCTTTTACTCTTTTTATTAAAACAGTTACTTGCATCTATGTTTAATATTCATAGAAACTAGTTTGTAACTGGTTTAAATTCGTTTATAACTCGAAGGGAAAATAACCTTGCAAAACATTAAACTAACTTTAACATCGCGCGTATCCTGAAAACCAGTTCCACTGGAAGATCATCTTGTCCCGTTATTTTTACTGATACACATGCATTGCATCGTGCCATATGTCGCGACCGATACCTGTAAAGAAATTTACATTCGGACGGTACCATTTGGTACCACCAAGCACGTCATTGCAAATAGGGCTTATTCCGCTTCTTTTTCGCGAGTTTTTTCTCCAATACTCGCCGCAGAAATATTTTTTCACACTTCAGTGTAATGTTTCATTGCGTAAGGTAAGTACATTAATGTTACTGCTGTTACCGAGTTTACGATTTGAGGTAATCCTCTCGCAACCAGCCTCCGTTCCACATTTTTTTTCTTCGATTAACTGCATTGAAATGTTTGCGTTTGGAAATTTAATATTTCATCGTTCACACTTTTCCACTCTTTATACTTATATTTTGATCAGCATTCAAATTATGTTTCAACGCTACTTGTCGAGTAAAATGCAAGTTTTGTATAAAAAGTATTATTGTAACAGCTGTTAGCTATGGTCTTGAAACAGTCAGAAAAAGACACATCTATTTCCTCTTCGTTCTCGATTAGAATTCCTTCTGATGTTCTCCATGTCACCATTTGCTATCGAGTCATCGCATAGCTCTTGTCAGCGAGTCGATCGCGTACTTGGATCGTCGACGCTAATGAGAGTGCGTCGTTGGTCTTTCATCCTTCCTGAATTTTCATCGCAGATGTCCCTCTTCCTCCTTGCCCGGCGTTAGAAAGTTGTAAACCCGCCATTAACGCATCGGTGACCACTCGGAGTGCATTAATTGGACGCGCGTCGCCTACGACGACGAATGGCTCAATAAATGTCTTCTCGTGTAGACCGCGGCTCATGAAATATACAGGACAGACAGTTTTTTGCCTTTCCCGCGTAAAAAAAATTCTCGGCGTTCAAAAACAGAACACTTTCGAGACCGAATTTCAACGAGTTCGACGAAATCGCGCCGGTCGGGCGACTTTCGAATCGGGAATTAATCACGCTGGATCGATCGTGGACGAACCCCACGGATTTGGTTAACAGATTTTTAGACGGACAGAGAATTGACAGAAAACGGACAGTATTATGCTCTCTTTTTAGGGTATTTCTAAAATACACGTTGGGATTTGGGAATCCTGTTGGATAATTTTTAAAATAAAATAGCACCATTTTTTTTAGATACAAATCATAGGCGGATATATTAGATTTGGTATTGTTAGAACGTTACATTTTTACCAGAAGAGTATGGCGAAGGTCCATTATCTTTTCATAACATGAACATTAACAAAGAAACAATGTATCCTCGCGTATCTACCATCTCTGTATTTGGAACGTATTATGTATGCAGAAATTATAATGTCCTGATGTTGAATTTTCAAAGATAGCCTGTTTTAATACTCCTCCACGAATCCAAGAATTAGTACAAGAAGAAGACTTCGACTTCCTGCGTTCTTAATGTAATTCCCCAGCTCAAGGACATCAATTTCAATTCTATGAAAGAACCTATAGTCTTTAATTTCCTTAAGCGATTCAGGCTCTTTCCACGCGGGTAGTTTGAATTGTATCACTGGATAGGATCGCAGACGTTATTTAAATCTCGGGTTTCATCGCATTCAGAGTGTGACTGTGCACCGTTTATTGTAATTACGTTAAAGCTCCGTCAACGCCACCGTTCTCATTACCGAGATTAACGGCATTTTAATTGCTCTCGGGTGTACTTAAGGTATGGTCCAACCGTCTGAACTCCTGTTGCTGAGCTTTTTGTCGGTGAGAAATTTTCAAGTCATATAGACGAATTGCAATGATTTATTCGTGTTAATTGAAAGTTGCGTCAGCGACTTGTCGCGTGCCTGAAGCATAACTTACTGGTAACTTAATCCAACATTCCATTGGCTAAGTATACGTATCATCCATCAGAATTCAATTCAACTTTCGAAGGGTTTCCCAAAGAAGGCTTCAAGATCTTATTTTTAATAACAAAATGTTAAATGAATACTTAAACGGCATTGCATGTACTTTCATTTACACCCTTTGCACTCGAAGCCTTTTTTACTGATATCTGGCGGCAACTCGTGATGCTTTCTTAGCATTCTATTGCCACGAATGCTAAGCTTAAATTGATTTCGAAGATGAGGTCTTTAATTTGAGATTTGAAGATCTGGTCACCCTTACCCCATCGACAATCATTTTATAAACTTAAACAAACATTATTGCTGGTTGATTTACTGCGTCAAACCTGAGAGTCACCTCTCGGGGGCGAAGGGTTAACGTTCTTTTTCG